CCTAAGGACTGAGTTGAATGTCGCCCTGCATACATTTTGCACAAGTTGTCCTCCACAAGCTTTTCCTCCTCTTCCATCTCCTACCCTCCAAATCCACTCTTGAGTCCCAGATCCACCAACACAGAGAAAGTGTGAACTACCAGGGAAGAGAATGAGATGTGGTCTTCATAACTATAGCCCAGATCCATGTCCAAATGGAATGGAAGCTCAAAGAGCAGCAGCATCGACAGCATCTAGAGGCAGGCTGTGGTGGCTCATGCCTGCAATCCCAGAAATTTAGGATGCCAAGGCAGGAAGATCACTTGAGGCTGGGAGTTCAAGACCAGCCTGACAAACATAGTGAAACCCCATCTCTACAAAAAATACAAAAATTAGCTGGGCATGGTGATGGGTGCCTGTAATCCCAGGTACTTGGGAGGCTGAGGCAGGAGAATCACTTGAACCCAGGAGACAGAGGTTGCAGTGAGCTGAGATCACGTCACTGCACTCCAACCTGGACGACAGAGCGAGACTCAATCTCAAAAATAAAACAACAGCACGTAGACAGTACAGGCACACAGGGGATGCCTGCAGGGTCTGTAATGAAAGACACGGCACATGATATAAGAAAGTCGGCTAAGCGCAGTGGCTCAAACCTGTAATCCCAGCACTTTGGGAGGCTGAGGCGGGTGGATCACGAGGTCAAGAGATCGAGACCACCCTGGTCAACATGGTGAAACCCCGTCTCTACTAAAAATACAAAAAATTAGCTGGGCATGGTGGCACGTGCCTGTAATTCCAGCTACTAAGGAGGCTGAAGCAGGAGAATTGCCTGAACCCGGGAGGCAGAGGTTGCAGTGAGCCGAGATCGTGCCATTGCACTCCAGCCTGGGTAACAAGAGCGAAACTCTGTCTCAAAAAAAAAAAAAAAAGTCTTCTGAGCAAAGTCTCAGGCCTTTCATAACTGCTCTTAGAGCATACGGAGTGTGTGTTCTAATTAACAGAAGTCTAACATCTTCTCACTGGAAATAAAGGTGATTATAACAGCAATTCTGACCCCTCCTAAGGTTAAGGAACAACATTGACTGCTTCTGACATAACGTGGTGTATTTATCCTGGGTAGGATAATTTGATGCTTACCTTCCCACAGAAAAAGAAAAGTTTAAAGCTTTTTTTTTTTTTTTTTTTTTAAGAAAAGAAAAGCAAGTGGACTGGGCACAGTGGCTCACGCTTGTAATCCCAGCACTTTGGGAGGCCAAGGCAGGCAGATCACCTGAGTTCAGGCGCTCAAGACCAGCCTAGCCAACCTGATAAAACCTCCTCTCTAGTAAAAATACAAGAATTAGCCAGCCATGATGGCATAGGCCTGTAATCCCAGTCTCTCAGGAGGCTGAGGTATGAGAAATCACTTTAACCCAGGATTTGGAGGTTGCAGTCAGCTGAGATCATGCCATTGCACTCCAGCCTGGGCTAAAGAGCAAGACACCATCTCAAAAACAAAAACAAAAATAAAACAAGTAAAAAGGAAAGAAGTAGTTGTCAATAATTCACAACTATTTTAATTAGTCCAGGGTACGTAAAAATCTCGGAGCATCATCAAACTTTAAAGAGTCGATTTGAGTTTCAAATTCAATTGTAAACTAACGGACTAGTTTTTCTTGTTTTGTTTGTTTTGAAACAGTCTTGCTCTGCTGCCCAGGCTGGATCTCGAGGGGCACAGTCTCAGCTCACTGCAACATCCACCTCCCAAGTTCAAATGATTCTCCTGCCTCAGCCTCCCAAAGTAGCTGGGATTACAGGCACATGCCACCATCCTCAGCTAATTTTTGTATTTTTAGTAGAGATGGGGTTTCACCATGTTGGCCAGGCTGGTCTCAAACTCCTGACCTCAAGTGATCCGCCCACCTCAGCCTCCCAATGTGCTGGGATTACAGGTGTGAGCCACGGCGCCCAGTCCATAATGGGCCGATTTTGTGTAGCTTTGATGTGGTCCCTTTCCAAGTGGGTAGGGAATAAAACTGGCACAAGCAGAGGTCTGGAAATGTGCAGGGTCCCCCATATTGAACGAAATTCTGCTACACAGCGGCTCAGCAAAGTGAAATAATTCTCTTCCTCCCCTCAAGTTTCCACTCTTCCTCTAAAGCTGGAATGCGCCCACGCTGTGTTATCTAAGAGGCCAGGGTGATTCAAGGGAAAGGAAAAAGGAATTCTCCCCCAAGATCAGCATCTGATCGACAGAAATAAAGCTGCCTTCACGCTAAAACAATTCTCCACGGTCCTATTGTTCCCGTTTTGTTTTTCCCAAATGATGGAAAAATCTAATTCCAGAAAAATGTTAGCAGCTAGATTATGTGACCATAGGGCTAAACAGTTATGTAGCTTAAATTTTTAGGGGCTAGCATATTCAAATATTTTCTGAATAATATCTGCTCTCTTGGCATCAATCTATCATCTAGTCATATAAGCAAAGGGCCAATCTAAAAAAGATTTCACTTGGAAGATACTAAGAGTGACTCAGGCTTGGGACACTCAGGCTTAGACTTGCTGGGTCCAGTTCAACATGGAATGGACAACAGTAAAGATTAAAAAGGGGAAAAGCAAGAAAAATACAGGTACTTGGAACCATGTTGGGAGCAAAATATAAGACAAGCATTCAGAAAGTTCTGGCAAATCATCAGGAAGGGGTTAGAAAAATCTAGATTGCGTAAGTAGGGTAGAGTTGAGGAAGTAACCTTTTTTTTTTTTTTTTGGAGACGGAGTCTCACTCTGTCACCCAGGCTGGAGTGCAATGGTGTGATCTTGGCTCACTGCAACCTCTGCCTCCTGGGTTCAAGTGATTTTCCTGCCTCTGCCTCCTGAGTAGCTGAGATTGGAGGCACGCACCACCCCGCCTAATTTTTGCATTTTTAGTAGAGATGGGGTTTCGCCATGTTGGCCAGGCTATTCTTGAACTCAATGATCCACCCACCTCGGCCTCCCCAAGTGCTGGGATTACAGGCATATGTCAAAGAAGAATAAACCATCTCCCTAAGTTGGACGTACCTGCCCTTCACAGGAATAGCTTCTGTGCAAGAGCATGAAGAAGGCCTCCAGGCACAGGGAGCTCTGGGCAAAGCTCCCTTTGAATCTCCCTTTAAACAGGGTTTGAATCATGTCCTTTGCTGACATGGATGAAGCTGGAGGCCATTTTCCTAAACAAATTAATGCAGGAACAGAAACCCAAATTCCGCATATTCTCACTTATAATGGGAGCTGAACATTGAGTACACATGGACACGAAGACGGCAACAACAGACATGGGGCATCCCTGAGGGTGGAGGATGGGAGGAGGGTGAGGATGGAAAAACTACCTCTCAGGTACTGTACTCAGTACCCGGGTAATGAAACAATTGTATGCCAAACCCCAGTGGCATGCAACTTACATCACAAACCTACACAGGTACTCCCTGAACCTAGAATAACAGTTGGAAGGAAAACAACATAAAAACGACAGTAAGGGGATTCGGAAGAACAAGGCAGCTACCCTAGGCCATCCCACCAGACAAGAGAAAGACCCTTCCCTCAAACCTTTCATGATGGGTGGAAAGAAGGGAGTCTCTTAACATGAGCAAATGGGTTTATTAATGCCAAAAAAGAGGCCTTATTCCATGTGATACCCCCATCAGAACTCTCTCTCCAGCCGTCTGTCATGCTGCCCTAAAAATGTCCTCAATCAAGGACTGCAAGAGATGGTTCACTGCCCCATAGGCCTAGACTCACATGGCCCCAGTATCATCCCAACTTGGCTGTGGCAATGCCCACTGCTTTGAAAAAGCAGCTATCATCAACATTTTCCTGCACCTCTGGCATCTGGCCCAGATCCAGAAGACTCTCACTCCCCAAATGATCCCAACTCTTCCATTCTGCAACCACCGTGGCCATCCTGCACCTCTGCGTTTACCAGCTGTAGTTACGAATCACTCACACAAGTGGTAGCTATGACAGCCGTTTCACTTCGTTCCCCTCAGCACTCTCCCTTTCCTCTACGACAATTCCTTAGAGCCCCATGCTGTCAATAACAATCACACAGTCAGAACAGTTCACATGTATTCAGCACTTACTCTCTCAAGCGTGATGCTAAAAGATTTACCTATTATGTTTTTTACATGAATTTAAGTCATATTGCATCAGCCCTCTGGGACAAAGATCAGAGATGTCCAATCTTTTGGTTTCCCTGGGCCCCATCAGAAGAAGAATTGTCTTGAGCCACACATAAAATACACCAACACTAATGACAGCTGATAAGCCAAAAAAAAAATTTTTTTTTTTTTTTAAATCTCATAGTGTTCTAAGAAAGTTTACAAATCTGTGTTAGGCCACATTCAGACCTGTCCTGCGCTGCAGGTTGGACCCGCCTAATAGAGCTGCCACTATTGTCCCTGTTCTGCAGAAGAGGAAACTGAGGCTCAGTCTTCATTCCCTCTTGTTCTCATACTTTGGGAAGAACTCCTTTTCACACAGTAAAGCTTCAGGGATCCAAAGCTTCTGAGTGTTATTTTTTAACAACTGGGAGGTAAGGAGAGATAGTAGGAGAGAGAGGGGGGATAGGATAATACTCTTTGGTCTGGGCTTTTGGAAGAGCTTTTTTTTTTTTTTTTTTTTCTTTGAGATGAAGTCTCACTCTATTGCCCAGGCTGGAGCGCAGTGGCACAATCTCTGCTCACTGCAACTTCTGCCTCCTGGGTTCAAGTGATTCTCCTGCCTCAGCCTCCCAAGTAGCTGGGATTACAGGCACCCACCATCATACCTGGCTAATTTTTTGTATTTTTAGTAGAAGCGGGGTTTCACTATGTTGGCCAAGCTGGTCTTGAACTCCTGACCTTGAGATCTGCCCACCTCGACCTCCCAAAGTGCTGAGATTACTGGCATGAGCCACCGTGCCTGGCTCTGAAGGGTATTCTTGACTCCTTTGGTCATAAAATTCACACAAGATGTTGCTATGCTATTGTTTGGCTGTGGTGCAAGATTTAGCCGATTCTTACCCTATTGTCCTCCTGGATTTCCCAGTCACTGGAGAAAGTCGCCAGCTGCTGTCCTTGGGAACAGTTTGAAAACTGGAAAAGGCTAGAAAACATCCTTCTGTTCTCTTGAGTGTCTGGGAAGATGGCATCTTGGAAATTGACTCCGTGAGGCAAGAGATTATAATTTTCATCCATCCTAATGGAGAAGAGGGGGAAAAAAAGGCAGACATGTAGACTCCACAGTCAAGGGTGTACCAGCTTCAATCAAGAGTCAGAGACAACTGTGGCAGGCTTGCCAATTTCACATCAATATCTGGCATGGCTCTCATTAGAGAAGTTACTACAGTTACTACTTCTAATTGTTTCTTTGTCTCATGCTACATGAGTCTATCCTTCAAGTATCCAAAAGATAAGTTCGAGCAAAGTATGGGGAAAAGTATGTGTACGGTGCCTGTTTGTCTATTGGTCTTCCAAGTCCCCCAAAGGGTCTTCCTTCTCATTGAGTATTCCTTATTTCCTGGTGAAAGGAAAGCCAGCTGTAATGACCTAGGTTTAAGTTCTGTCATTGGTATTTATCTTCTATATAACATGAAACAAATATCTTAACTCCTCTAAGCCTCAGTATTCTAATCTGCACAAAGAATATAGTGCTGGCCCAGTGCGGTGGCTCACGCCTGTAAACCCAGCACTTTGGAAGGCCGAGGCAGGTGGATCACCTGAGGTCAGGAGTTCAAGATCAGCCTGGCCAATATGGTGAAACCCGTCTCTACTAAAAATAAAAAAAATTAGCTGGGTACGGTGGCAGGTGTCTGTAATCCCAGCTACTCGGGAGGCTGAGGCAGGAGAATCATTTGAACCCAGGAGGTGGAGGTTGCAGTGAGCCAAGATCACATCATTGCACTCCAGCCTGGGAGATAATAGTGATGCTCCGTCTCACTAAAAATAAAAAATAAAAAAAGAAAATAATAGTGCCTACTTTCTTGGTGATGTCATAAGGATGGCATCAAAAACGTAAATAAATGAAGCACTTAGTGCAAAGTAATGCAGTACACATTAGTACAGGGCCTGGCATAAATCAATTAGAACGATTCTTAAAGAAGTCAAGAAGAGATCAAAGTTACACTTTGGTCTAAAAACAGGACACATAGGGCTCACCAGCGAGTCTCAACGGCCACCCTCACCCCTGACACTGACCAGAGGCCCCGTCTCATCCCAGTGGGTCCCAGAATAACAGAGGAGGAATGATGTGCATGCAGTTGTTAACACACTCCAAGGCAAGACAGCCCTGTGAAATGAAAATGTCAGACTACTGTCTTTGTATTTCTGCCCAAACTTGTGTAAACACGGTAGAGGAAAAAAGATGAGAACTGGCTGAGCACCGCGGGACCACTGGACAAACTATTTCATGATAAAAGTTTCCTCAAAAAGCCTGCTCAACTACTTGGGCTCTTTTTTCTTTGGAGAACAAAGTTCTGGTTTTGAACAGTTTCATGGATGGGTTCTCAGAATTTTTCCTAATTAAAAACATGAAACTCTAAGTTTCTCTGTATCGAGAAGGGCACTCTCAGTCCTTGCTGGCTTTATTTAGAAACTATACTTCTCTGGAAATTAAAAAAAAAAGTCAACTTAATCTAGCTGAACCACTCAAGCCAACACAAAGCAAGCATGTTTTTTAAACTTAGGTATTCTGGCTTCAATATGGAAAACACGTGTCGCCATGCACTCACAAACACCACTTTGTAGAACTGTTTTCTTTCTCAGAGAAATGCAAGCTAAAAGTGAATCTGCAGACCCAGGTCAGCCTCGTTCCAAATATCCTTAGTGCTACTTCACAGACTGGGAAAACTGCAGCTACTACCGATCTCCACAACAGCGGATTCATTCACTCACCCTCTTGATATACAGGTTAGATTCCATTTTGATGCTTTCCTCAGTTGCTTTATATCCCTCTCCAAATTCGACTGAAGCCAACCAAAGAATTTAGGGTTCTACCTGGAGCGCTCTATTCAAATTTCAGAAAAATGCAGTAGTCAATGAGAATTGACTGAATTCTTATACGCAGATGCATTCCATCTCAAGCACAGGCCAACGCTGATGGAACTCCAGAAGATTCCAGTGGTCTAGAATCAAGAGGACCTCCTGCCTGGTTCACCTCTCCACTCCGCAAAGCGCTGTGACCCAGGATTTTACCCGCAGCGGAAACCCCTACCCCCAATAAACCTTTGCTATTTCATCTAATCTGGCAACTGATATGAGATAATCAAGCGATGCTGGACTGCATTCCACACCATTCACCTCTTGGCATTTGTGCGGGAAGAGGAGAGGGCGGACAGCTGGTCAGCCACTACCCTGCACCAGGTGCTCTGCATGAGTTACGTTTCCCGCTCAGCCAGCCCTGCTTCTCACTTTACACAGGTGAGGCTATGGAAGTTCTTGAAAAGGTGAAAGAAATGTTCTCAGAATCACTATTAGAAAGGGCAGCGCCAAAATGCCAGCTGCAGACTGATTTCAGAGATTGTTTTTCTCACCGTCCCAATCTGCTCCCACTGAGGCCAATTTAAAAACCCGAGTCACAGGGACTGCTGGAGCGCGCTTTGAGCTTTTGCCTGCAATGCTCTTTCTTCTGTGGACCAGGCACAGAAACCCTGTCTTTTAAACAGCCTTAAGCAGGGGTAGCCAGGATGTCTGTAGAGACGTCACACGGAGCAAGAGAGAGCCAGGAAGGCAAGGGGGAGGCGCCCCAGGCGCATTCTCAATGGGCACCGACCGGCTGCCCCGGGGAGTTCCCGGCCTGGCTCCAAGTAACGGCGACCTTGGGAGGTGGCGCAGACAGGTGGCGGCGGCGCCGGGCTCACCTGAGGAAGAAGAAATAGGAGTAGTCCTGGACGACGGTGTGGGAGTGGCACGAGAAGTAACCCAGGCCGGTGAGGTTGAGCCTGGAGCCGGCGGGCACCTCCAGCATGCTGCCCCACGCCTGGTCGCACAGCATCTCCACCTCGGCCGCGTAGAAGAGGCCCTCCTGGCCGGCGTGGTACTGCCAGGGCAGGTGGTTGTAGAGGCCGGGCGCCTCGGGGTGCAGCGCCAGCACCCGCGCGTACACGATGGTCTCGGCCAGCTCGGCGCGGCAGCCGTCGCTCAGTGGCCTCCACTCGGAGGGCAGCTGGCAGGCGCGCGCGGGCGCCGGGGGACCGGCCAGGAAGAGCGCGGCGAGCAGCAGCGGGCGCAGCATGCCGGGCCCTCCCGGGGCGCGCGGGGAGGCGGCGGGGAGCCCGGGGAGCCCGGGAAGCCCGCCGGCCTGGGAAGGGCACCCCTAGGCGCTTGGCCGCTAGCACGGCTCCCGGGAGCTGGACGAACCGCTGTCTCCGCCGCGGGGCTCCGCGTGCCTGGTCCTGGCGCGCCACGCTTTAAAAGGGTCCGGGGGACTGGACGCTCGAGACGCCCGCCTCCCGCCCTGCCTCCTGCGGCTGGGGCGTGGGCGGCGGAGGGGCGGGGAGTCGGGCGGTCCCGGAGCCGGCTGGGGCGGGGACGCCCGGGACCCAGCCCCGACTTGGGGACAGAGGCCCAGCCGTCTCCTGGCGCCCCACTACGGACGGGGTCCGAGCCTTCCAAGCGTAAAACCTGTTTGGAACCGCAAGGCACTCATAAAAGAATGACTTTTAATTTGGACGATTACTGCCTAAGTTTTGACATTTTCTCTGCATTTCAAAGTAAAAATACATAGAAACCAAATCTGACTTTATCTTCGCGGAGATTAGGAAATTCAGTGTGGGCTGAAAAACTTTTTAGATCTCGTGCTTGCTCAGATTTGCTAATTATTTAATGAAGATCTTAGAAAAGCTTTGATAAAAGATTCCAAAAAGCAATCACTTGGCCTTGATTTTCTTACACCCAGATGGTTTACATGATCCCTACTTCCATTTTCTGAACACTGTACACCTGAGAAATACATGCAGCAGTAAATTCCAAACAGCCTTTCACAACAATGAGTGAATTTGAGGATACTCAAACCCCACAGTTCCATCTTTATCTCTAAAGGCAACAGGTTTTTCTGGTTTGATTTTTGGTTTTTGTTTTTTTCTTGAGACAAAGTCTCCATCACCCAGGCTGGAGTACAGTGGCTCGATCAGGGATCACTGCAGCCTCAACCTCCCCTGGGCTCAGGTGATAATAGGTCATCCTCCCAAGTAGCTGGGAATATAGGCACACTACCACCCGTATAATTTTTTTTGTTTTCAGTAGAGACAGGGTCTGGCTATGTTGCTCAGGCTGGTCTCAAACTCCTGGGCTCAATCGATCCTCCCACCTCAGCCTCCCAAGGTGCTGAGATTTCAGGCGTGAGCCACCACATCTGTCCTGAATATTTAAATAATGCAATTTCATAATGCTATTAGTCTCCCAGGGCTGCCATAATAAAATACTCTAGACTGGTGGCTTAAATAAGAGACATTAATTTCTCAGAGTTCTAGAGGCGGGAAGTCCAAGATTCAAGTGCCAGGGTTGGTTACTGGTGAGGCCTCTCTTCCTGGCTTACAGACAGCCACCTTCTGGCTCTGTCCTCACGTGGCCTTCTCTTCTCTCTGCATGTGTTGGAGAAAGAGTGAGCTCTGGCATCTCTTCCTCTTCTAATAAGGTCACCAGTCCTATCGGGTTATCACCCACCTTTATGTCCTCATTTAATTAGCTCCCTAAAGGCCCTAATTCCAAATACAGTCACATTCTGGAGTTAGCACTTCAACACATGAATTTGGAAGTGGGAGAGGACGCAGGACTCAGTCTGTAAGAGTCTAGTTAGCAGGTGTTCTGCAGGTTTGCTAGAGAAAGAGAGCAGGGGTCCCAAATGGCTTATATTCCTGGCAGGCAGACTCAGAGCACACATCGCCAAGTTACAATAACAATTGCTAAACTGCATTCACTGTTGACCACGGGCCAAACACTGTTGTAAGGACTGCACATATGTCATCTTAATTAATTTTCCAAACAACATTAGAAGTAGATATAACTATTGTGCTCATTTTACAGATAAGGAAACAGGCATAGAGAGGTTAATTGACACCAAAGATCACACAGCTGCAAAATGACCGAGCCAGGATTCAGCCCCGCCCCCGGGCCCCGCCATCAGACTCCAGAGTCTATGTATTAACTACAACACTTAGAATGGGGCCAAATATAGGAAGTACTCTAAAGACACAGGTCGGCCCTTTAACCACGATGTACACAGAGCAAATGAAGAGCAAAACCTCAGCAGAATCACCAGCGCTGGCTCAGAGTGTGCAACTGACTTAACATTAATTTCCTATCACCCAGAATCCCTCCTCTATTTTAGTCCTATACTGTAACTTATGCAGATAAGATACTAAGAAAGTTTTTCTTATTAATTGCATCTTCAAGTGCCTCGGAGGCCTGGAAAAGATGAGTCTACCCCCACTGACTGTAAAGCCCTGACTTTTCTTTCCACATCGATGAGCAAATAAATAAAATCAGCATACATGGCTGCTTTTTCTCTTCTTGTATAAACTTGAACTTGACAAAATCGAAACTCTTCAGTACTACCCAGAATGTATATTGCAGAATTGAGCACCTGCAAGAAATTGTCCTCATGGATTGAGCAGACACATCGGTCATGCTTTTCTCCTCTGTAAGATCTGGCAGTGCCTCACTGATTGTGTTTCTCTTCCTGACAGAGCCATTGCTGTGTAGCCAGGTGAGCAGTTCCACTCTGGGGACTAAGACCTCCAAACAAGCAGAGCTCAAGGTAGCCAGAAGGAGAAACAGACATTCTGTGACGGAATTACTGGGTTTCATAGTGACGTGAGCCACTTCCATCTCTTGATTCCAAGACCCATATGTCCTGGCTGTGGGGTGGATGGATGTTCTATTTCAAAGCACACACAGTACACTTTAAGATGGACTCCATCATTTCAATGTGGTGCCTCCCAAATGACACTATAATTAAGTCTTCACTGAGCAGTTACACCTTTCAGAATCTGCCCAGTTGCTTCCAGGTGACAGGGCATGTGGTAAGACCAGTTAATTCTATGGCCTTGAGACTCTGCTGCACTTCACTGCTGACAAACAAGCAATGCTATGGAAATCATTGATTAGAAACATCACCATGGAAATTCCATGATGGTGGATAAGGTGCCCAGTGAGTCCATAGGTGGTGCTCCTGGCAGAAGCATTCTGGCAGAGAAGGCATATCCATGTCCAGAATGTATCTATTTCAGTGAGGACAAATCTCTGACCGCCCTCCGCCTACCCCAAGATGGAAAAGGTCCAATGGAATCAACCTTCCACGAGACAGCTGATTAGTTCCCCAGGTGAATGGGGCCATATCAGGGGATCCATGTTGGCCTCCATTGTTGATATATTAGGCTTTCAGCTGTAGCGTTAGCCACACTGGCCATGGTAAGAGAAAGTCCACATTGTTGAGGCAATGAATAGCTTCTATTCCTACCACTATGGACACTCTGTTTATGGGCTCATTGAGTAGGAACTAGAGTGGCCAAGAATAGAGACTGACACCCACTGAGAACATAAATTTCCCACCTAACCGCTAAGAAGTTCCCCTCCAGTGAATGAACTTGGGTCATCATTCACACGGAACATAAATATCTTCTGGTAACCATTATGAGATGTCCATTCATTCACTTCTTCCCAAGATGTCCTTGTCAGCAATTTTCTGATCCGATTTCTTTCAGGTCCCTAGCCATCCAAACCACTAGCAACTGCCCACGAATCAGTGTCCATTTGTAGTACCAGCCACCTCTCAGTCTAGACATGGCATACAATGAAATCTGCTGCTCAAAGTTCTAGCAACTGGGAGCATTTTTCTTCACCAGCGCCCTTCAGGATCACCTCTGAGTGGAACTGAGTAATACCTGCGTGTAATGCAGAAAAATCTGCAAACCAGATGAAATAACCAGTCTTGTCATTTTATCCTCATTCAACTGGTCATAAGGAGTATCCCAAAGAGGCATAAACCATATGAGTGGAAGGGGCAAAGTACCTTCAGAGCCAAAGGAATCTAAGCCACTTACCTGTGCAACGTGTTTGTGCCACCTGGATCTGCCCAATCCCAGTCTCTTTGATACCATTTCGATTTGACAGTAAATTGCTGCTGTGCACACATGGCCTTATGTCTGGGAGGGTCAAACAACACTCAGCTCATGATGAGAAGTTCGGATCACATGATCACCCAGCATACCCCTGTTAGGCATTCAATCTCTACCAAGGCCTAATAGCAAGGCAGATGCTATTTTCCAAAAGGCAAATAGCCATATTCAGAATCAGGCATAGATGTGCACTAAAATCCTAGAGTTTGGTGCTGTGACTTTCCTTTCGGTGCTTGCTAACGACTCCACACCACATTCCTATTTGCCATAAATACTTTATCACTGGACCTTCTGGATCACAAGGCTTAAGTGATACACCGGCTTGTACACAGCCTGAACTGGCCACAGAGACTTCTCAGAACTTGCTCAACACCATGTGAAACCGGCAGCCTGACAAGTAACTCTACAGATGAATCCAAAGCACATTTAAATGTGGCATTTGCTTCCTCCTAAATACAAAAAGGCTGAACACACACTTCCTCTTTTCCCATTGTGGATCATCCAAGGACCGGCAACTTCCCTTTCACCTTAGAGAAGGGACGACTGAACCCCCAGAAACTTCACTGAGGTAGCAGGTTCCTGAATTTTTGTGGGGCCTACCTCCTACAAAAGGGGCCTACCTTTACGTCTTACCAAGGCCTCTAAAGTTTATGGTGTATTGTGAATGTCAGATCCATTCATCATAATGTCATCTGTGAGGTCATCCAATGTGATGGTTTGTGGAATGCCAAGACAATCAAAATCTCTGCAGAATAAATGTGATAGAGAGCAGGAGGACTGACACAGCCTGAGGCAAAACTGAAAGTATATTGATATTCCTCACAGGTAAATGCAAATGTTGCTGGCAATCCTTGCAAATCAGTGAGGAATAAAATGCAGGTGAGTAGCTACAAAGCAAATGCTGGGAGACATAAAAGGCAGGTGAGTAGCTACAAAGCAAATGCTGGGAGACATAAAAGGCAGGTGAGTAGCTACAAAGCAAATGCTGGGAGACATATCAATTTGCCCCAGGAAAGATGCTACATCTAGGACAACAGCTAGAATTTGAGTCACCACCTCATTCAATTCATAGTAGTTTGAATTCTTCAAGACCCATGTGAGGTTTGCACAGACCAGATGAGTTCAATGCAGATGTGATAACTATGACCACTTTCTTCCAGTCTTTGATGACAGCATGGATTTTTGCAATCCCCTCAATATTGCTTCTGATTTATTCTCTTAGTAGAAATGAAAGTTCTAGGAGCTTCTGCTTAGCCCTTCCAACAATAAAAGCCATCCCCCACGGTTCAGAGAGAAAATATGGATGTTTGTCAGTTGTCAACTCTGGTCCCTTTGGAGAAGTCTTAGAGGAGGATTTATGCATGTGGCAATGGTTCAGGGTCCTTCCTCAAGAGCACCTGGCTTATCTTTCAGTCAAAAGGCTCTGTGCCTATAAATTTACTTATGTCTAAAAGCTGGGTAAGGGTCTTCAGTACCTGTTACACAGATCGGGCACTACACTAATACATTGCCCATATATTTAGTTTCAAGAGACATTATGATCAATTATCCACTGTTAAAGATCTCTGCCAATCAAACATTCTGATTACTAGTATGCCCCTCCTGACCTTTATGGGAGAGGTACCTACCTCGCCCTTGTCAGTTAAGTGCTGCCGCTTGGCCCCTGCTACTTTAGAATTCCATCATTCCTTTGAAATCTGGGGACCCATTTCAATGGCATCATCCTGTGCTACAGTCATAACTTTTCTAGAAAGAGGAGAAACCACAGAGATGTTCAAGGACACAGCACTCCCTTCATTAATATATTTCTTATTGTTATGGTGAAGGAAATATTTCTCTGGGTCATCTTGTGGAATGTAGCTGGGAGGTGGCTGCACACGTCGCACATCACGCATTCAGTTCAACCTTCCTAACTCCCTAAGCCTTTGGATTCCCGCCTCTACATTATTTCAAGGAAGCTCTGGCATCTCAACCTCATTGAATAGAGGCCACCATTGAATTCAGATTTTAGTCAACCAATCAACTAAGCTGATAGAGCCACCTCTAGAAATAGATTTTTACTCTCAAATGTATCAAAACAAGAATTGTTGCCAAAACTAGTATTCTATCCTGCCCACTTTGGGTCTGCCTGGAGTCTGCTGACATACATTGGCAGTCTTGCAATTTCTTGAATGTCTGGGCGATTTCCTCCTGGATTATAGTGTGTACCTGTCTCCCTGGACATACTGAGCTTTGACCTTAGTTATACCACTAGTGGACCTTAATTATGGCTACAATTGCCTTGTAAGAGATGCTTCTACAACAATGAAGCTACACCCTCTTAAAGATAGACCAAGTACTGTCACATATGTCCTTTCTTCCTGAAATAAATGTTTTAAACCTCAATAAAAAAATAGTGAAAAACATGTGAGTTATGTAAAAAAATATTCTTAGTCATGAAAAATAAATGAGTGAGTTCTTCCTCTTTCTTCTTCTCTTCCTAAAAAACTCAGCTCTAAAAGTCTAGCTGTGGCCATGGAAGTTAGGTCTCCAAGCTGGGGCAGGATAAGGAGACATGAAAGATAAGAGGAGCTTCTCTATGGGGCTTCCCACGGCAGATAAGAGCCACAAGGGGGCCGGGCACCATGGCTCAAGCCTGTAATCCCAGCACTTCGGGAGGCCGAGGCGGGTGGATCACGAGGTCAAAAGATCGAGACCATCTTGGTCAACCTGGTGAAACCCCGTCTCTACTAAAAATACAAAAAAAATTAGCTGGGCATGGTGGCGCATGCCTGTAATCCCAGCTACTCAGGAGGCTGAGGCAGGAGAATTGCCTGAACCCAGGAGGTGGAGGTCGTGGTGAGCTGAGATCGCACCATTGCACTCCAGCCTGGGTAACGAGTGAAACTCTGTCTCAAAAAAAAAAAAAAAAAAAAAGAGCCACAAGGGGTGAGGAGGGCGTCAGTGCAAAGGAGTGGCCACGACAGGATGTGAGAGCCCAACAAGGGTAAAGGAGAGTCCCTGAATAGGAGGAGCCTGTCATGGGGTTAGCCACGTAGGAGGGCAACCTTTGCAGAGATTCAGTGTCGGGATAAAGACTGGTCTCCCAGGCATGAGCCCAGCATAGGTTTCAGAAGCCAATAGGGGTAACATCCACAAGGATGTCAGTGCATGAACAAGTACAAGGCACTTCCATGTGAAAAGGACATGACCCAGTTGAGAGAATCAGAGCATGGTTAGGGCAAGATGAGTGTCCACACAGACCAGCATTGCAGGCCAGGGAGTCAGAGGCCAAGTAGGGGAATGAGGATGTCTGCACTGGGGAGGGCAGCAGCAGTGCAGTGAACACCAGACTCCAAGTGTGTTGCGGAAGGCATGGCATGAGCTATAGGATGGGAGTAGTGATGGGAGAATGGTTACGCACAAGAGGTTGATCAAATAAGCAAATATATGGAGGAGGATGGAAACCAGTTTTCTCACTATCAAAAAAAGGGAGTTACGTATATGGAAAGGAAGAAAACTAGAATGGATCCTGTGGTGTTGAAACATGAATTCATAGATTTTAATAATAGATATAGAAATCAATATAGTTGCATGTGAATTTGTGTGTGGATATACACTTTTGTCTGTCCCACAAGTCTTTGAAATATATGTTATATGCTTACAAGAAGAGAATTCTTGATAAAGTTCAGCAGGTTAGCAACAGAAGGGAACTTTCTCAACCAGATAAAAAGCATCTATGCAGTCTACTGCTAACATTACACTTAATGTGAAAGACTGAGTGCTTTCACCTAAGATCAGGAACAAGACAAGGACATTCAGTCTCATCACGTGTACTCAACATAGTACTGGAAGTTCTAGACAGTACAATAATTCAATAAAATAAAAAGCATCCAGATTGAAAAAAATAAAAACAGATGTAAACCTCTATCTACCCATGACATGATCATCTATCTAGAAAATGCAGGCCAGGCGCGGTGGCTTACGCCTGTAATCCCAGCACTTTGGAAGGTCGAGGTGGGCGGATCACAAGGTCGGGAGTTCAAGACCAGCCTGGCCAACATCGTGACACCCTATCTCTACTAAAGATACAAAAATTAGCTGGATGTGGTGGCAGACACCTGTAATCCCAGCTACTCAGGAGGCTGAGGCAGGAGAATTGCTTGAACCTGGGAGGTGTAGGTTGTAGTGAGCCAAGATCATGCCATTGCATTCTAGCCTGGGTGACAGGGTGAGACTCTGTCTCAAAAAAAAAAAATCAAATGAATCTACAAAAAAGCTACCAGAACTCATAAGCAAGTTTAACAAGTGGCATACAAGATTTGTATACAAACAGCAATTGTATTCTCTACACTAACAATAATTGGAAATTGACATTTTAAAAAAATACCATTCACAATGGCATCAAAATACATGAAATACTTAGAAATAAATCTGATAAAATATGTAAAAGACTTATACATTGAGAAATACAAAACATTACAGAGAGAAACTGAGTATTTTGAAAATGGAGATACATACTTTTTTCATAGGCTGGGAGACTCAATATTTTAAGATGTTAATTCTAACTGAACTGATCTACAACTTAAACGCAAGCTCAATAAAAGTCCCAGTGGTGTTTTTGATAAAAATTAGTAAGCATATTCAAAATTCTATATGGAATGTAGAAAACTGAGAATAGCTAAAAACACTTAGAACATAAAGATCAAAACCAGAAGGGTAACATTACCTGATTTCAAGACCTACTCTAAAGCTATAGTAAGCTATAAAGTGTTATTTGGTGCAAACACAAATATCTGTGTCAATGGATCAGAAAGATATCTGATAAAGGATACATATTCAGAATACACAAACAACTCTCAAAATTCAATGATGATGCTGGGTGCGGTGGCTCACACCTGTAATCCCAGCACTTTGGGAGGCTGAGGTGGGTGGATCACCTGAGGTCAGGAGTTCAAGACCAGCCTGGCCAACATGGCGAAACCCCATCTCTACTAAAAGTACTAAAATTAGCAGGCTGTGGTGGTGCATGCCTGCAGTCCCAGCTACTCAGGAGGCTGAAACAAGAGAATTGCTTGAACCTGGGAGGTGGAGGTTGCAGTGAGCTGAGATCATGCCACTGCATTCCAGCCTGGGTGGCAGAACAAGACTCGGTTTAAAAAAAACACCACTCGATGAGAAAACAAACAACCCAATATAAAAAAATGGGCAGAAGATTTAAAAAACACTTCATCAAAGAAGATAAGAATGGCAAATAAGTACATGAAAAAGTGTTCAAAGTTATTAGTCGCTAGTGAAACTCAAACCATTATGAGACACTCTTATATACCTACTAGAATAGTAAAAATTAAAGATAATGACCATACTAAGTGTTGTCAAGTACATGGAGGAACTGGAACTCTCATGCACTGCTCATGGAAATATAAATGATAAAACCACTTTGGAAAACAACTTGACAGCTGTTTAAAAAGTTAAACATATGATTAAGCCATTCCACTCCTAGGTATATATTAGAGAAAATTAAACCATATCCCATACGAAGACTCATATATGAATGTCCATAGCAGCTTTCTGTGTAGTAGCCCAAAACTGGAAACAATCCAAATGTCTATCCACAGGTAGATGAATAAATAAACTGTGACTTACAATTAAATAGTACTCATCAACAGAAAATAACTATTACTATACTTCAAAACATGGATGAATCACGTGATAAAACAGTCAAGCAACTGGACTTCCTTGACCAATTCATTTGGTCTTAGAAATTCTCGTCTATAAAACTGTCACAAAGAAGGTATCTCAATAGGAAGAGAAGAAGTCCAATTATCCCTGTTTTTAGAAGACATGATTCTATATCATAGTCTTTGCCCAAAAGCTTGAGCTGATAAGTAACTTCAGCA